AATGCTCGAGCATTTAAAAGCATTTATGACCGCTTTTGAAAGTGCTCATCCTTCTATCTTGTTATTATATTGTTTTTTTGGAAATAAATATATAAATAGAATTATGTGGGTATTATTTGTCTTCCAAAGTTATTGCAAAAAAAAAGATTATATGGGTAGGTATCTACATATGAGTCGTCTAGATGCAAAACTCTCCATTTGCCTTTTTTAATAAGGACAAAACATGTTTCCATAGAAATATAACTAACAGGGCTAAAAAAAATGACGATTTTTGTAGATGTGTTTTTTCTATAATAATAATTTTATGATCTTCAGCAAGCAATAAAATTAATTAATAATTTGCACAAAGAAGTCTGGAAAAATCTATGTTAGTTTCAAAGAAAACGTAAAATAAAAAGTATTTTCTTTTTGCTTATGCCGTTACTAATAATGGAATCGCCCTCATACATACTTGTCATTTTTTATTTTCCTTTGTATTATTCTATGACACAAAATACATTAATTCATGCCAATTTATAAAATCCAACACTGGTAAATATTTGAAATATGATTGCAATTTAAAACTACCGCGTTTTGTAATTGGTCTAATAGTGGGTGCACAACTTGGCAACGCAGCTGTATTTCTTCAAACTTCTAGCCGCTCCTACATGAAGGCTCCATGTTGGCAACACTGATTTACACTAATGAAGTTAGCTGTAAATTTTACAGCTAACTTCATTATCAACCTTGGAGCGTGTGTTTTGGACGAAAATTTAACGTCCTTATTTAGTTCTTCGTAGTATTAAATTTAAAAACAAAAATGGTAAATGGCACGGAATCTGCCTGAACATTCTGAGATTATTCCTAAAAATGCTAGAATATTTACAATCAATCTATGAATATTCCTGGGGAATATTTCAAATAAATTATTATATGAATGTTCCCGAATAATCCAGCATATTCCAAGAATATATTTGGGAATATACCCTAAACTAGATCAAAATTAACAGCTATAGCCATAGAAAAAGAATATAGCTATAGCTGCATTTTGGGCAACTGATTGATTAATGTACCTATAGGTAATATTGTTTGTTAAACAATATAGGTATAAGAGTATTAATATTATTAATATTAGAAGCCATATTGGGGTGTAAATTATTTAGTATGTGCTTATTATTACCAGGGCCGTAGCGACGGACTCAGGGGCCCCGGTGCAAAACTTTAGGATAGGATAGGATATCGAAAATTACGATTTTTTAGTAAAACTTTTTAGTTTTGGGGGCCCCTTTGAGGTCGGGGGCCCTGGTGCACCGCACCGCCTGCACCAGCCTCGCTACGGCCCTGATTATTACTTGTACCCACAGACCAAGTCTGTGCTTGTACCTTAAAGTATTATTAAGGTATAATTATACCTAATTAATATAATAAGTCTAGACTAGCTTGGACCTGTACGTTATATAATTTATTTATAATTATAAATATTATATATAATAATAATTCGTACACATGCACAAAGTATATTTATACATAAATGTGTGCTCACTGATAACTTGTGTATACAAATTTTACGTATTTAAAATGAGCGCCTTTAATATCGCTACTCCGTGGCGGGGCCACTCGGCTCTGCGCGCGCACGGCAGAGATTCTCGGCTCTGCCAATAGCAGACAGGCAGGTTCTTCTCTCTGGACAGGTCAACCTTTATAATCTGTGGGGCAGGTTCACGAATTTGATGAAGACAGTGTGTGTTGAGAGTGACGCTGCAGCCATTTTCTAGTTTCTAGTTAATTGTTAAAAGGTAAGTTCTAGTTTTTAGCTAATTGCTCCTTCTTTAATTATATTAAAATACTAAATGCTGTTTAAAACTATATCTACTTCTTTATCTTCATTTAATTAGGTAAAAATGAGTCCCCAAACAGTTCATTTTCCAACCGGCTTTCGTAGTTGTATTTTATAATTTTAATAAGTTGACTTTCAACATTTAAAGTGCTTTAGACACAAAGTCGACATTTGTTTTTAATTATATTTTATAATTACATCGCTTATTATTATGTTTTGACATTTTTAATTACATACCTAAGTATTTCTACTCACTGAAGTGGGCAAGACGGATCGTTTGGGAATAAAACGATAAAGCCTATACCACAAAGTGTGTAGTTTAGGCACATAATCCATTCTACAGGGTGAGTTTTTTAAAGTGTTACAAGGCAATATCTTGAAAACGGTTTTTTTGTGAAATTTTAATGAAGTAATGAGGACACGGGGGGACATATTTGGATATATTTTTGAAATTTACCCCTCCACCCCATTTTGAGGGGCGGGGGGTAACTTTGGATTTTTCAATGGAATGATGTACTTTTTTTATGAAATTCGAATCTACGTAAAAAACTACGTATGTGTGCAAAAAAAAATTGATTTGCTCTTTTGGTTATGGAGTTATGATTTATTATGTTAAAATACTAAAAAATAATTTCAATGTTTTTATCAAGTCTGTTAAACTGCACGTTGTTGTTTATTTCCATGGAAACGTTATTTTAATCTAAGTTAGTTGAAAATTTTGACATTTTGCTGATTAAAGTTTTTTGAGCAATTAAACATGGGAAATAATTTTCAGGTTAAAATGGTGTCTCTGGAAGGTGGCCATACCATTAGTGAATGTGTAAGAAAAGCCATGAAAACCATACTCGATGATAATTTGGCAAACAGCTACAGCTTCAAAGGACACAAAGCTTAAAAGAATTTTACCGCCCATAAACATTTTGTAACGTTAATTATAGGTATGAAATACTGTAAGTTGTTATCAACACTCCACATATAGGTAATTTTATTTTAGATTGCGTAAGAAATCATGTGCCGCAAGCTACCACAAAGGAAATAGAGGATCAAATGGCAGTCTGGCTGACCAAAGCAAAAAGAAGGATGGAAGCGCTTCAGCAGTAGAAATGTGCAATTCCAATTTATACAGGGTTACTGTATTACAGTACCAAAGAATTTGTTTTTATTTCGTTATATATGTATGTATTTTATTTCGTTATATATGTATGTATTTTATTTCTTATATACAGTATGTCTCAGTATCTTGGAATCATATGGAAAACTTTTTTATTATTAATTTTAGGAAAAAAAGTTATTCTTCATAAAAAGTTCTGCATGGTGTAAAACTTAAAATGCAACCCACAAATATTAATTTTTTTTAGTCGTATACGAGGTATGTCAAAAAATATGAATTTGGCGCAAGAGTAAAGTACCTTTATATTTGACAATATCGAAAATTGTTATAAAGAAAAGTTAATCAGAACTAAAAACTACGTTTAAATATGCAATTTTATACATTTACATTAAAAAATTAGGTTTTGTTAATTTTTACTAATCTTTCTATTTTAAATGAACATTTATCTGTTATGATTAGAAAAAACATGAAAACCTTAAGTTAAGTCAGGGGATCTAGCAGGCCAAAAAGTATTAGAATATCAACAAATCATTTGTTTATCAGTGAATCCTAAATTACATGTTACAGTTAAATTTGCATTGATATTGTAGACAAAAAAGAATAAATATTTTTTTGAATGTAAATGGATGTAATTGCATATTTGAACGTAGTTTTTAGTTCTGATTAACTTTTCTTTATAACAATTTTCGATATTGTCAAATATAAAGGTACTTTACTCTTGAGCCAAATTCTTATTTTTTGACATACCCCGTATACGACTAAAAAAAATTAATATTTGTGGGTTGCATTTTAAGTTTTACACCATGCAGAACTTTTTATGAAGAATAACTTTTTTTCCTAAAATTAATAATAAAAAAGTTTTCCATACTGTATATTGTATATATATGTATATACACATTGTACCCATGTACTACAATTGCTTTTATTAAACTATTTAATATGAAGTTGTCTTTATGTCCAAAAAGGTCCTTAAAAATAACAAAAAATCCCGAAAATTCTTTCAACATTCCGGCCTACTAAATTTTAATAAGACTGGAATATTCCCAGAATCAATTTTAAAAGAAATTATGGAATAACTTAACAATATTTGAAGGGCAGATTCTGGGAATATATTTTTCACCATGCTATGGATAAATAAAAAGCGGACATTTTTATATATCAGGAATATTCGTGGGAATATTCTAGGACGTTTGGAATAATCCTAAAAATATTCCTGGAATAATACTGGAATAGGACTGTGCGGTCTGGGAATGTACCTGAAACATTATGATGCTATATTATTGTTATATTATATTATACTTGTTATTATAGATGGTATATGCTTGAGCCCTTTGCAAAGTGCTCACAAATGCTCGAGCATTTAAAAGCATTTATGACCGCTTTTGAAAGTGCTCATCCTTCTATCTTGTTATTATATTGTTTTTTTGGAAATAAATATATAAATAGAATTATGTGGGTATTATTTGTCTTCCAAAGTTATTGCAAAAAAAAAGATTATATGGGTAGGTATCTACATATGAGTCGTCTAGATGCAAAACTCTCCATTTGCCTTTTTTAATAAGGACAAAAACATGTTTCCATAGAAATATAACTAACAGGGCTAAAAAAAATGACGATTTTTGTAGATGTGTTTTTTCTATAATAATAATTTTATGATCTTCAGCAAGCAATAAAATTAATTAATAATTTGCACAAAGAAGTCTGGAAAAATCTATGTTAGTTTCAAAGAAAACGTAAAATAAAAAGTATTTTCTTTTTGCTTATGCCGTTACTAATAATGGAATCGCCCTCATACATACTTGTCATTTTTTATTTTCCTTTGTATTATTCTATGACACAAAATACATTAATTCATGCCAATTTATAAAATCCAACACTGGTAAATATTTGAAATATGATTGCAATTTAAAACTACCGCGTTTTGTAATTGGTCTAATAGTGGGTGCACAACTTGGCAACGCAGCTGTATTTCTTCAAACTTCTAGCCGCTCCTACATGAAGGCTCCATGTTGGCAACACTGATTTACACTAATGAAGTTAGCTGTAAATTTTACAGCTAACTTCATTATCAACCTTGGAGCGTGTGTTTTGGACGAAAATTTAACGTCCTTATTTAGTTCTTCGTAGTATTAAATTTAAAAACAAAAATGGTAAAGTTAACAGCGGAAATCATTCAAAATTCCATGCAATACATAAACCCGGTAAAAGACAGGGAGTTGGATTTGAGAGGTAAACGATTTTAAAACATTTTAAGGTTATGTGTGTTTGACTTTTTGTGTTTTAAGGCTACAGAATACCGGAAATTGAAAATCTTGGCGCCACTGGCGATCAGTTTGATACAATAGACTTTTCGGAGAATGATATAAGGAAATTGGACGGATTTCCCTACCTAAAACGGCTGAAATGTCTACTACTAAACAACAACCGAATAGTGTAAGTTTTTCTATTTACACCTTTATTATTATTAAGTATGATTTATAGGCGTATTGGAGAGCACTTGGAAGAATACATACCAAACATGGAGAGCCTTATTATGACAGGAAATCACCTTGAAGATCTTGGCGATATTGATCCTTTAGCAACACTGGAAAACCTAACCTCACTCTCTTTAATGCACAATCCAGTCACAGCAGTGCCAAACTACAGATTGTATGTGGTTTATAAGTTACCGCAACTGCGGCTTCTGGATTTTAGGAAAATCAAAATGAAGGAACGGGACGAGGCTAAGGCACTTTTTAAGAGCAAAAAGGGTAAAGACAGTCTCAAGGAAATATCCAAAAAATCCAAGAGTAAAGGTGAGAACGTTATTAGGGAGTTGTTATGTTTTTATTGTTGTTTTTTGTTATGGTAGGTATGAATGAAGTTACAGCCACTCCAGATAAACGATATAATAAGATACAAAATACACAGGAAATTAAAAAAATTAGAGAGGCTATAAACAAGGCTAGTTCTTTGGAGGAAGTGGAAAGGTTACAGAAATTATTACAGGCTGGACAAATACCTGAAGAAGAAGGTAAGCTATTTTATTAACATTTGATTATTCAGTCTTTATAGCATTATTAATACTATCGATTATTCTAATTTTAGCATTTTTAATAGTTTTTATTTAGATTTTTTATTACGTTTCCAGCATTTTTGGGATTATTTATTTGTAATAAAAACATTTTGAACAACTTTATTATTTTTAATGTAAGCATTTTGAAAAAATGTGCTTTTTTAATTTACAATATTTTAAATTGCTGTGAAAAAAGTCCCAAATATGTTTTATTATTTTTTATATTTTTTAAGCACATTTATCATTAAATATTATTTTGGTGAAATAAATTTTTTTTTTTGAAAAATTTATATTAAAACAAAATTTATGGCGCGCCATTTCACTTCTTAATTGTAAATGTTTAAAATGTAAAAAAATTGAAGTAGGATTTTTTAAATTATGGAATATTTTTTTTTATAATTTTTATTATGTCTCATAATAATAATTAAATAAAATTATGTCAAGCATATATTTTATTCAAATTTAATTTAAACAAATAGGAAAAATAGCGAATTATTTTTATGTCTAGGCATAATAATAATTATTTAAAATTATGTCTAGGCATAATAATAATTTTTTTTATGATACATTTTAATTTGATACGCATTTAAATATTTTACCCGACGAATATTTTTAAACATTTTACATATTTTGTTAGTTAAATTAATATTTGCGTCATTTAAATTTGGTTCATTTTTATTTTGTATGAGGTTCTTTATTTTTTTACTTTGAAATTTATATTGGATTTTTTGTGAGACTTTAAACATTGTTAAACAATTTTATTTTTAAACAAGATTTTTAAACCATTTTATTTTATTCCATTATATTTTAGTTTGCAATTTCTTATTCATAATTTTAATAATTTTTATTTTATAATTAATTTTGTGTACACATAAAATTAATTTGGCGCTTTGGGAATGCGGCAGGAAGTGGCAACTGCAGTAGTTCAAATGCATAGTAGGTATTTATGCGTAATTTATCTACGCCAACTTTGGCGCCAATATGCGGAGAAATCGGGTTTTGTTCTTCTATCTAAAAAATTATAGAAATTATTTCTATGTATGACGTAGGTAAATTAAACATACCTACCATTTTAAATACTGCAGTTGCCACTTTCAGTCGCATTTTCGAAGAGCCAAATTAATTTTATGTGTAGATATAAAATTAGTTATATATTAAATTATAAATTATAATTTTTTCTGTACATTTTGTTTATTTTTTAAGTAGGTATTAATATTAAACTTAATTTTTCATATCTGATTAAAAAGTAAAACGGCATGCCATAAAACTTTGCCACCTTTGTGATTTTAATCCTTATAAAATGTTTTTAATATTTCAGGTCAAAACGGAATGGAATATGAATGAGCTAATAAACTAGGGTAAAGTATAATTACTTTTAACTTAAAAGTATTCTGTATAAAGCGAAAATTTTTTGATTTGGTTTTTTTTTAAATTGTATTTTTTTATTATGTTAATTAAATAAACTTGACCTGATAAGAACATGTATACTTTGCGTATTTTTTATGTAATTAAAACGATGTTTTAACTGCATAGCCTAAGGTTCAGAAGCGATAAGGTACTACTACTTACTACCACTTAATAAAAATAAAATAAAAAACATGGTATTTTATTTCGATTAGTTACACAAAAATTATAAAATAAGGTTAAAAAATTGTTAAACATTTAGGGGTTTTTTGCCACATATTCATTGGCAGCTGTCTCCCCCAGACATCCTAGGTTGACCCCCAGCAAATATAGAGTGGGGAAAATATCAGGGTGGCACATCAAGGCTTTAGTGTCGGGCCTGTGATCAGGATTCACTTGCAGCATCATTGTTATTAAATCCTGCATTTCGTCGCCGTAAAATGCCGTGTTGACGCACTTTATTTTTCCGTTTGCTATCGATAAAACAACGTTGGAGAGCTGAAATTCGTTCCGTATTTAGATTGCAATTTTTTGTAGCTTTTACTTACCGTTCCCTCAAACATTTTTTCTAATGCGCAGAGTTCGTACAAAATACAGCCCAAGGACCAGATGTCTGATTTGACGTCGTATGGTTTTCCGTCGCACACTTCTGGGGCCAAGTAATTGCACGTTCCTATTATTGTTTGGGTCTTTTTAGTGCTGCAAAAATGATATTTATTATGGCACGCCATTCACTTTTTAATTGTAAATGTTTTAAATGTAAAAGAAAATTGAAGTAAGTTTTTTAAAATTATGTAATATATAGTAATTTTTTATAATTTTAATTATGTCTGACTCAATAAAAATGAAATAAAATTATGTCAAGCATAAATTTAATTCAAATTTAATGGAAACAGATATTAAAAAAAGCGAATTATTATTATGTCAAGGCATAATAATTATTTTTTTAAACAATTTTATTTTATTCCATTATTTTTTAAGTTGACATTTCTTATATATAATACAACAATCATTATAATGATTGTTGTATATATTTTACAATTAATTTTTATTTAAAAATTAAAAGTTTGACTACCTACATAATTAAAATTATAGAATTAATTTTATCTGTACACATAAAATTATACAATAAATTGTATGTCTACACATACAATTTATTTGGCGCTTTGGAAATGCGGCAAGAAGTGGCAACTGCAGTAGTTCAAATGCATAGTATATGTATTAGGGTCTTTCATTTAAAACGAAACATTTTTTTTTCTTGCTGACACATGAAAATTTTGTTTTCTAGGTTGAAAAAAAATTCCCTGAAAATTTGAGCTCTTAACTTTTATTCTAAGTACTTCCTTTTTAATTTTGTAGTTTTTCCATATAAAAAGCATGTATAATCATTTTTACTTTAAATTTCTATATTTTGGCCGGGTTTTAAATTATAATTTTTATCACCATAATTTCCTGCATAGTATTCACGGTTTTTGAAAGGCAATGCATCAATTTTGTTTTTTATTTATTTACGTTGATTGTAGTAGCTCCAAAAGTCGTTTTTTCACTTTCTCTCACATATTTTTGAGAAAATCGAGCGAATGACTCGTTTTACCGAAAAAGTTCAAATAAAAAAGTTGTAGGAAATTTAATTTTTGACAAAAAAGGTTCCTACGTTCATATCACTAAAGTGCTTTGTTTAAGAGATATAAGCAATTCAATAACCAAAAACAAAGAAAAAATAGGTTGTATTGAAATTTATGTAAGTATACATGTATGTAATTTGATTCAACAACTATATATTGCTTATATCTCTTAAACAAAGCACTTTAGTGATATAAACGTAAGAACCTTTTTTTTCAAAAATTAAATTTTCTACAACTTTTTTATTTGAACTTTTTCGGTAAAACCAGTCATTCGCTCGATTTTCTCAAAAATATGTGAAATAAAGTGAAAAAACGACTTTAGGAGCTACTACAATCAAGCTAAATAAATCAAAAACAAAATTGATGCAGGGCCTTTCAAAAACCATGAATACTATGCAGAAAATTATGGTGATAAAAATTATAATTCAAAACCCGGCCAAAATTTAAAGTAAAAAAGATTAAAAATACATGCTTTTTATATGGAAAAATTACAAAATTAAAAAGGAAGTACTTAGAATCAAAATTATGGGCTCAAATTTTCAGGGAATTTTTTTTTCAACCTAAAAAACAAAATTTTTATGTGTCAACAAGAAAAAAAAAATTTTCGTTTTAAATGAAGCACCCTAATATGTATACGAGCCCTAACCACAAAATGTTCGGACACTTCATAATTTATACAGAAATATTTTTCGTGAATACTATCTCAAAATTATTAGAAGTTATGAAAAATTCAGCTTATTTTGGCATATCGGCCATTTCAAGCGCGCGAAACGCACGAATTACAAAACTGTTTTTACAAAAAAAATTGTAGATTATTTATTATATAATATTTTGGCATCAAAATTGTCAAAAATATTCTTCTTTTATTGGGTTATACATTAAATTAAAAAAAACTCAAGAAATATTTTATGAAAGTAGATATAATTTTAATAATTGAAAGGTGTGGACGGGACAAAAAAAAGATTTATTTTGTCCCGTCCATCCCTGTCAATTATTGAAATTATCTCTACTTTTATAAAATATTTCTTGCGATTTTTTTTATTTAATGTATACCCTAATAATAGAAGAATATATTTGACAATTTTGATGCAAAAATAATATATAATAAAGTAGCTACAATTTTTTTTATAAAAACAGTTTTGTGATTTGTCCCGTCCATCCGCTTGAAATGGCCGATATACCCCTCGAAGCGATTTTTATTTTTAAAAAGTTTACCTTTTATTTTTAGCTTTTAAAAAAAGGCTAACTTTTTAACTTTTTTTTGTATGAGTAAAAAAAGTTATAAATGGGCCCATTAAAAAGAACATAAAATATTATACAAACCCTGAAAATTTGGTAAAAATTGTATAAATAATAAGAAAGTTATAACGATATATATATCTGCAAAATCTCCCGTTTCCTAAGAAAATTGCAAAAACTCTTTAAAAATAGCATTTTTAAATTACTTATACTTTTTTATAACTTATTTATTTTTTACCAAATTTTCAGGGTTTGTATAATATTTTATGCTCTTTTTAATGGGCCCATTTATAACTTTCTTTACTCATACAAAAAAAAGTTTAAAAGTTAGCCTTTTTTTAAAAGCTAAAAATAAAAGGTAAACTTTTTAAAAATAAAAATCGCTTCGAGGGGTATATGCTAAAATGAGCTGAATTTTTCATAACCTCTAATAATTTTGAGATAGTATTCACGAAAAATATTTCTCCGTTGGTGTTGTATAAGTGTAACATTTTGTGGTTAGGGCTCGTATATGCGAAGAGATTCGGGTTTTGTTATTCCATCTATATAATAATAGAAATTATTTCTATGTATACAATTCACATATAATTCACAATACTAGAAGGTTCTAGTTTTGTGATATAATTAGGTATATGACGTAGATACATTAAACATACCTACCATTTTAACTACCACAGTTGCCATTTTCGGCCGCACTTTCGCAGCTCCAAATTAATTTTATAATTTTATCTGTAGGTACAAATAAAATTAATTCTAAAATTTTTCGTCTATAGTTTTAATTACAAAATAAAAATTCAGTGCATTAATTTTATGTGTTCACAATGTGAACTTCACATACAATTAATTGTATAATTTTTTATTATAATTAAAATTATGCGTACACATAAATTAATTATGGAACAGCGTTTTACTTTTTAATTATATAAGAAATATTAAGTTAATATTAATGTGTCACAAAAATATTGCACACAGAAAAGTTACATAAAATAAATAATTTAACATCTTATATAAACATATTTACTTGTTAGACATGTATAATTCTAATTAATGTATTATTTTCCAGTGCAATTTATTTTTTAAAGTTTTTATTTAACTTAATATTTCTTATCAGATTAAAAAGTGAAACGGCGTGCCATATATTTATACTATTTTTAATATGTATAAACTGCGCACCACTCAATGTGTCGCGACCAAAAATTTCGTCCTTTTTCAAAACGACATAACTTTTTTGTTTCTTGAACGATTTTATTTTGGTTTGTGATGTCTGCTAGCCCCATTCTCTGGCAATTCATGCTATAGATATGAAGCTCACGGTTCTTCAAGTAAATTTACTACAGGGTGATATGTAAAACAGTGAAAAATTTCAATAACTTCATCCAAACCCCGTTTGTAAAATAAATATTTTTTTCTTGTTTTTACTTTGAAATAATGAAGTATTATGTCTTACCTTGAAACGTTTTTCAAATTTTTCGAATTGGAATCTTAGCAACAAAAATATAATTTTTTTTTCAATGGAGTACAATTGATGCTTTTTTGTAGGCAATAAACTCAGCCTTTTTAAGAACAAAAAGATAAGATGGTGAAAGATTGTTCCTTGAATAATTCTGAACAAGCGACAAGCAACAAACTTCCATTATTTTCCTAACATAAGCAAAGACCACTTTTTCAAAATGACATTTTGGTGAAAATTTTCGAAAACTAAACCTGAACCGATATTTACGTTCGTGACATGTTTGCTTTATAATTTTGACCTCCTGATGTGATTCAGTTGTCAAATTTAAGTTTCAGATAAAACCAAAATCACCAAGAATCAAAATTCGAAAACAATTCCCCAAAATTTGTTTGTTCATTTTTGAAAATTTTATGCGAAGATATAATTATAATAAAAACTGCAACATTCAACAGAAAAATGTAACAAATAATAACTTTCAATATTTCGTTGGCCCTCCCCTAACCCGTAATAATTCATTAACCCTCCTGGGCATTCCCTAGACCAAGTTCCTTAGAAATTCCTGGGGTGTGGCTTCCCATTCTTCCTGAATCGAATTTACCAATTCATCGTAAATAACGGTTCAGGTTTAGTTTTCGAAAATTTTCACCAAAATGTCGTTTTGAAAAAGTGGTCTCTGAAAATAATGGAAGTTTGTTGCTTGTCGCTTGTTCGGAATTATTCAAGGAACAATCTTTCACAATCTTATCTTTTTGTTCTTAAAAAGGCTGAGTGTATTGCCTACAAAAAAGCATCAATTGTACTCCTTTGAAAAAAAAATCATATTTTTGTTGCTAAGATTCCAATTCGAAAAATTTGAAAAACGTTTTAAGGTAAGACATAATACTTCATTATTTCAAAGTAAAAACGAGAAAAAAATATTTTTTTTACAAACGGGGCTTGGATGAAGTTATTGAAATTTTTCACCGTTTTACATATCACCCTGTAGGAAATTTACTTGAAGAACCGTGAGCTTCATATCTATAGCATGAATTTCCAGAGAATGGGGCTAGCAGACATCACAAACCAAAATAAAATCGTTCAAGAAACAAAAAAGTTATGCCGTTTTGAAAAAGGACGAACTTTTTGGTGCGCAGTTTAGTTGACAAAGTACTTACGTTAAAATCTTCTTTGAAATTCCAAAATCGCCAATTTTAATAACATTATCTGAAACGCCAGTTAAAAAAATATTTTCGCACTTTAAATCCCTGTGTATTACTTTTTTGCTGTGTATATGTTCTAGTCCCATCAAAATTTGACAAAATAGGTCCATGACAAACTAAAAAATGATAAAATGAAAACTCGTTATCATGGGTAAATTTGGAAATTTACTTGCGGTTGAAAATAATTCGGTCTACTTTTGGAAATTAAATCGAAAAGACTCCCTTTGGTCGCGTATTCCATGACGATGTAAAATGTGTTTCCCTTTGTGAAATTGTCGAAGTATTGGATAATGTTGGGGTGGCTTAGGGATTTTAGAATGGCGACTTCGTTTTTTGCCGCCCTCAACTGCTCGCCTTCTAGATCGGAGTTGATTACTTTAACGACAATTTTTTGTTTGTTGTGGATTCGTTCGCATAAATGGACAGTGCTTAAATAAATCATTTATTACGAATTTTGTGTGGTTTTGTATTAAGATTTACTCACCCAAATGTGCCTTTTCCTAAAATACTTATAGGGTTATACATATCCATATTTAATTAGGTATGATGTTTTCTATATCACAGAGCAATACCACACTACTAATTGAGTAGAATATATGCGGAAGGCAAGATATATGTATACATACACATACAGTAAAAAGTGCAGTTTTTATAAATTTTTTGTATTTTTATTTAGGAAGTAATAATTAAAGGATACTTTATTGTTATATTTAAAGGGTATAATATACCTTATATTATAAGGTAAACCATGGAATGAAAAAACACGTTTTATAAAAGATTAACTCGATCAAGATTGGCAAAAAATTGGCAACAGCATGTTCAAACCGAGATGAAATTCTGAGCCAATTAAAAAATTAACTAAATACAAAATTAAAAAAAGTAATCCTCCCCGGCGGGGAATCGAACCCCGGTCTCCCGCGTGACAGGCGGGGATACTTACCACTATACTACCGAGGACTTGAAGTTTACTGTGTATAACAGTGTACAAATCAATTTCCATGCTACCTGTGTGCCTCACAAACGTATTACGAGTTGCCTACCATCACATATCTCGATGACAAGAGCTGGTCGAGCAAATTGGTGGTCATTTTTGAATTCAGCGTGCCAAAATTACACTAGAAAAGTTCATGTCCGTCCTGCAGCAAAACATCTGTTGAACAAAAATTTGACTTATTTGGTAGTACCTACATAAATCTTTATTTGTGTATATTCTACAATCTACCTATATAGATATTTAATATAAAGTTTTAGAATATGAATAGGTAGGGGAGAGTGGGTAGACATTGGACAATTTTTAGATTTTTTTGCCTGGGTCCCAGCAAACATTTATCAGCGGCATTAAGGCGGCTAAACATCGGCAAGCCGATAATGACGTAGTCGGCCCGCCATTGTTTTCCTACCGTCGGCCCGCCGTCAATAGGAGACAAGTGGCAACGATCGGCCAACGATCAATTGCCGATCATTTTTTAGACATCGGCCCGCCGTTTATTTCAAACATCGGCTAGAGGTTGTTTTTAGATATTGGGCCGTTGTCAATAGGAGATAAGTGACAACGGGCGGCCAACGATCAATCGCCGATCGTTCTCCGTTGTTTTTAGACATAGGCCTGCCATTGTCTTCAAATATCGGCCGGCCGTTGTTTTCAGACATATTATGTCTGTAAGGATATCCATCCATTATCTAGACAAGGGCGGGCCGATGTCTAAAAACGACGGAAAATGATCGGCAATTAATCGTTGGCCGACCGTTGCCCCTTGTCTTCTATTGGCAGCGGGCCGATGTCTAAAAACACGGGCGGACGATGATTTATCAGCGGCTTAACTTCGACAAGCTGATAATGACTTTGTTTTTTGACCCCTTTAAAGATCAATAATAATTATTGATGATCTAAAGGAAATATAAAAAAAATGTCAATTTAATTTTTCAGGTCTCTAAGATTTAAGTTAAAAAAGGATTATTTAAATAATTATATACCTATAAAAAAATAATGTTTTATTCTTATTTATATTAAAAAAAATAATCACATATGTGGGTTTACATAGTTATAAAAAATATATTACTTTTGGTAAAGCAAAAAAATTAGGTAATAAATTAAAATATGAATTTATTGCCTTCTTCTATTTCTGCCACCATCCCTGTCCCCAGCTGTTCGTAGCCAAGCTTTAATAACAGATTCAACTTCTGTTGTGGAAGCGTTCTTAGTTAGGCTATTCGTCCTAAGTGAACCTTAAAGTTAATATTAAAAAAGTATTGCTTGTATAAGAAAGCCTTACCTAATAAGAGGTTAATTATATTAACGTGAGTGGCAAATGCTCTTTTAGCTCCTTTTCCCTTCCAATTATATTCTTTTGCTAAACTATTGGATATTATCTTTGATAATATTCGCCTTGTGGAATCAACCACATCCTTACCTCCAATGAGCCTTAGTTTTGAGCACTAAAATTGAGATTAATAATAACTAAATTAAAATTTAATATATCATATAGAATATAGGTAAAAAACAAATTATATATCAAAATATTTTAAGTTAAAATACAAAAAAAAATAAAAACTATAGCTATACCGAGTATAATTTATTTATTATATAATATAATATAATTTATATATATTAGATTTTATTTAATGCACATATTGAATCCGGTAGCGCCCGATAGATTATTTTGTATAGGTCTCTATGGGGTATTTTAAGCAGGGTGGCAAGGCAAAACACGAATGTAAAGTGACATTTCTGTATGAAAAGTGACAGGTCTGTGTGAAAAGAAATTGACAGCATCGTTTGAAATTCGTTTCAAAATTTGTATTGTATTTATAAATATCATTTAGAACACAATTAATTGTGTTTTTATAATCTTTCATCTTATTCTTTTAATTTTTAACGTAGGTACCCACTGGGAAAGAAACCTTACAAAATATTGCTGCAATGTTAGCGGACTTTACAAATAAAATATTTCCTGTGCTACTTGCATTAACATAAATAAAATGTTACATTTGAAATATTGCATATAATAATTTCCAACAACCTTAAATTTGAAACATTATTTAAAGATTCACATGGAAAGTTTTTACAATGTTATATTTGTAACATTTAGTATAAAATGTTGCATAAAAGTTTTTAAACATTACAATTATAATATTGCAGACATAACTTTTTTCAATGTTTCAATTGAAATATTAACACAAGTTTCAAATGAAAAATGTTTGCAACTTTACTTTAAATATACAATAGAAACATTTATTTTGGAATGTTTGGGAATATTTTTGAAACATTGCAATTATAATATTACATTAATAAGTTTTGGTCAATGTTTCATCCGAAATATTACATTAAGATGATTTTTGCAATGTTACTGTTTATAAACAATATAAACATTTCATTTGCAAGATTTTTGAAACATTGCAATTATAATATTACATTGATAAGTTTTGGGCAATGTTTCATCCGAAATATTACATTAAGATGATTTTTGCAATGTTGCTTTATATAAACAATATAAACATTTAATTTGCAAGATTTTTGAAACATTGCAATTATAATATTACATTGATAAGTTTTGGGCAATGTTTCATCCTAAATATTACATTAAGATGATTTTTGAAATGTTGCTTTATATAAACAATATAAACATTTAATTTGCAAGATTTTTGGAACATTGTAACTATAATATTACATTAATAATTATAACTTTACTTTTGGACTATGTTTCATTCGAAATATTGCATTAAGATAATTTTTGCAATGTTGTTTGCAGACTGACTTGCCGATGCATCTCGCCGCTGTCTTGGTCATTTATATCTTTATAAGTGAACAGTCCGAGCTTGTTATGTGTCTCCCGTCACCGACTGCCTGACACTGATGAGATCAAACAGGTCGAAACAGTCTCTCTGTCAGTGTTGGTGGGTATGGTGCGTTACGGATAAATAATTATAATTAATTATTATTATAATAATTCATATTAATTTAACTGCAATGTTTCTGTAATGTTGCAGGAACCTTTCATTAACAAAAATAACATTTAGTAACATTGCAATTAATACATTTAAGCAACATTTTATTTGTAAATGTAATGTTCCTGAACCATAAAGCTTTGTTGCAATGTTCCTGCAACATTTCCACAAGGATTTTTGTAACATTACACCTAACAAATGTAATGTTTCAGGAACCTTACATTAACAAAAATAACATTTAGTAACATTGCAATTAATACATTTAAGCAACATTTTATTTGTAAATGTAATGTTCCTGAACCATAAGGCTTTGTTGCAATGTTCCTGCAACATTTCCACAAGGATTTTTGTAACATTACACCTAACAAATGTAATGTTTCAGGAACCTTACATTAACAAAAATAACATTTAGTAACATTGCAATTAATACATTTAAGCAACATTTTATTTGTAAATGTAATATTACTGAGCCGGACATAAGGCTTTGTTGCAATGTTCCTGCAACATTGCCACAAGGATTTTTGTAACATTACATCTAACAAATGTAACGTTCAGTAACATTGTAGAAATATTATTTTTCCCAGTGGGTATAAGTTACTTAAAATCAATAAACTTACCTTCTCAATTTAAATAAAGGCACTAAAAATTAGAATTTATTATACAAACACAATTAATTGTGTTTTAAATGATATTTACAAATACAATACAAATTTTAAAAAGAATGTCAAACGATGCTGTCAATTTCTTTTCACACAGACCTGTCACTTTTCACACATAAATGTCACTTTACATTCGTGTTTTGCCTTGCCAATGAAAAGATTCATTGTCTCTAATGCCAATACGAAATGTGACTTTTACATAGTGGTCGTAGAAAAAAAATATTTCATTGTAAAATTTTAGCCTTACATATGTATACAAATTTACTTACTTGTTTTCCTGTGACATGGTGTTTTCCTGTGACATGGTGTTTTCCTGTGACATGGTGATAAATTAACACAGGCAAAAACCAGTGAATTGTTAAAAAAAACTTACCAACACTAACAAAACGATTTTTGATCCTTCGCGTTCAATGGCCGGTTACAAAAGAACGACGCCGCGCAGTTTATATACGCACCATGCAGAACACGACACTGCCGCGCCGTTGCCAAATTCTTATTAAATTTTTTATTATTTCATTTACATTTTTATGGTCTTGTATTATTAATAAATAAACAATTAATAACGCCAAATACATTTTAAAAATTCCAGAAATATTTTATGAGAAACTTTCTTTAAAAATTAGTTAGTATATTATACTTTCCAAAGCTTTGGTGCTGCATTGTGCAGATGATTAATCATAATTATAACCTTGAAAATGATTTTACGCGTAAGTTTTCAATTTTTAGTGTAATTTATAAGTGTATTAATTGTTCAATTGTTCATTAAAAGTAACTAAATTTTATTAATAGACTCAAAATTTGAGTATTTCACGGCTGTCTGGCAACACTGTAAATTGTGCTCTAACCCTAAAACCACTCAACGTTAAAACTTTAAATTAGTAATTTTTATTTAAATAATTATTATGTATTTGGTATTGATAAAAAAAATTTGTATGCAGATATTTGATATCATTAACAATTCATAAAAAGGAATTTTCTAAAAATTTCTAAAAACAATAATTAGGGTTGCCAACTTTCGGTTATTGAAATAAAGGACAAAT